GACTTATCTCAGATGACTCTCAGGCACTGATTATCTTGGAGGCAGTTCCATTGACTGTGGACTAATCATAGGCTTATAGGATCATAACAAGTAAGAGGAATGCCTTGTATTTTGAAGAGCATGTCAGTAAAGAACTAGCGTGCCAAGTCTACTTTCATGGGAGGAGTCTTTCAAATAAAAGTCCATGCCCTATAATACTACCAGTTTGATTAGAAGATTCAACATATTGATCAAGGTTTTCCCAACAGTACCTTTATATATCAATCATGGACATTTATAACTATATAAGGTTTAAGGTTTTAAAACCTCTGTATGTACATTATCTCATCTGATACATCTCATAACAACCCTCAAAAGAGGTAGCACAGCATAGTGAGTAGAGGGCTGACATCAGAGTGAGGACCAACTATACTCAAGACCTTTTGGCAGTGGGCAACTCTCAGCATCCTAGGCAACTCTCTAAGATTATAAGTTGTAGATCAGTTGCCCATTGACATTGATGGAGGGAGTTTTCTCACCAGGAACTCCTTGACTTGGTAAAATCATAGAACTGAACAAAAAAACAAATAACCAGGTCTCTAAGGCGGCTACTATAATACTTATTTTACAGATGAGGAAACTTGAGCCTCATAAAGATTAAGTAAATTCACCATGGTCATTTGGCTAATTCTTGTCAGAGACAAGACATATCAAGGTGTCTTCTGACTACAGTTAAATCTAGCTCTCTTTCCACTATACAAAGTCACACAGATAATAAGAGCTGGAATTTGAATCAAGCTCCTCCTTATCAAAATTCATTGCTCTTTCCAGCATATTTCACTGCCTCCCTCCTGTGCCCAAGTTCCTCATTCATTTGAGTTAGCTTAGGGGAGAGGGTAACCAGATGTCCTATTTTATTGATAATCCTATTTTCTTGGATTTTTACACAATTGATAAAACTTGACATTTACAGTACCTTTCTCAGAACAGTCATTTTAGGCCAGTAGCACAGGTGTTGCCATCCCCATTCTACAGATGAGGAAACTTAGACTCAGAGAAATGAAGAGACTTGGCTATGATTCCACAATTAACGATTATCAGAAGTTGAGCTTCAAAACCAGGTCTCTTCCGATTCTAAGTTTAGCCTTCTTTCAGCTATCTAAAAAATCATGTTGGAGTAGTAATATACAAATCTTGTCACCCTATTTGAATAAATAATTACTGAGAGTACTATCATCTTCTCAAGCTTGATTTGTTTTTAAACTGAAGTTTTAAAGTCTCTTTTGAAAGGTCATTACTTGTAGGTCTACTTCCTCAGATGAAAGGAAGAGTTTACAACATGGTATTGACTTTCTTAAGAACTTATAGGAGCTACATTTTAGGTTAAAAATGACAGAATCATAGCAATGTGCTTAAGAAAATTGAAGCCCAAAGAAGTTAACTAATTGGGACCCAGTCAATGAAAGAATTAGTTGGGAAGCTCTGATTCCCAAGTTCAGTGGAATTTCTACTATATCAGCAAAGTATGTTAATGATTCTATTCTTTTTCCACCACAAGATTAAGGAACAATGTCTTTCTGTGGATTAATTCAGGTGTGATTTTTCCTTCAGATATTTGGATTGGAGTGATTAAAATGAGCTGACTAGATAACCTGCCTAATCTTTTTAGTGTTGTTTCTCTCTTTGCTTGTTGTTTGACCAACATGAGGGCTTGGAAGAGAATGAGCTGGTTAATATAGAAACTGGAAAAGTCTATCAGAAACCCAATGGATTTTTTTTAAAGGGTTTAAGATCTGTTCCTGAAGGATAATGTCCGTTGATGAGATCACCAATGTGTGGAAACACCAAAATCTATCAAAAAAAAAAAAAGGGAAGGAAATTTTAACTAATGTAATGTTCTCCTTGTTCTGGAAAACACAACACCATTTAAGTTTGATAGAGGATAAGTTTCCTTAATTTATTTTACTTTCTTATCTAACAGAATGTATAATGACAAAGAATTTACATTTACATATTTGCTATATTCTCCCTGTCTTTTGTTAAATAAGATCATGTAAAAGGGTGGATATAGAGCAATACAAAGGGCATCACTACCACTATGCTAAAAAAAAAAATCCAAAAAAGCTAATTCATTCAACAAATAATTTGTTAAATGTCTACTAAGTGCAAGGCTGTGAGGGATACAAAGATGAATAAAACACTGCTTCCTGTTTACAATTCAGTGAGAGTGATAAGACATGTACACAAATAACTATAAAAAAAGGTAGTATGTAACAAGAGCTATAAGAAGGGTACAAAGTGCTATGGGAGTTACTCAATAGCAACATATTTGTACACAAGCTACAAATTATGTTTCAAGAATCTTAAAAAGCTTATTCAATTTAATATCTAGAAGTGCAATTATGTGTCTAAAGTATAGCTGTCTTTTGAGTGAAATGTAGCTAAGAGCAATGCCATATGGTTCTGAATACAAGCTTGGAATGTATTCTATAAAAGACTGAAACAAATTGAAAATGCTCAAGAGTTTCAGGAAGGCAGAATGTAATTAACCAAACTACAACATGGCCCTAGGACAGAAAAATTAACACTAGTTCTTGGAGAAGGGATAATCTGAAAGGGTTTTAGGAACTCAGAAACATACAGTCAATTTTTATTCATCTATGGAAATTCATGACAAGGAACCCTGAAATTCCCCTCAGGCAGAAAGATATGGTATAGAAATGTTCATTCCCTGCATTTAGGTCTTTATTTCCATTTCATCAGTAGTTTCAATCCTCTCAACAATTTTTTCACCAGTGCTGCTAGTAAATAGTAAAATAGAGTGAAAATTTTACTTTTTCTTTTCTCCTTTCCATCTTTAGATGATAATAACTAGCAGAAAAATCAGAAACTAAGGACTTGGATCGTTTCTTATTAGGCTAACCTGAATATTCAAGAATTTGCTAAGTAAAATAAACGGGCATTATTAGGTATATCTCCTAGCTGGAACTGACTAATTTTAATCAAGGAGGCCAAAAGTTATTTGAGAGTACATGGTATTTTATGTAGATTTTATGTATTTGGGCAAAGGTTCAAAAACAGAATTGATTTCCCAAAAAAAGGAGCAATTAAAGATAATGAAAATGCACAGCTTCTTGAAAACTCCACAAAATGCATTTCATTGAGCTAAAAAGGTAGGTGTTAGTCAAAGTGAGAATTCCTAAAAATGCTCACAAATGTCAATGACGATGATAGCGGTTCAATGCGATCTGATAAAGATTTATTCAGATTAAAGGTAATAAACTCGATATTTTGTCTTGGTTTATTCCTACTGTCTTTAAATAAGTAGATAATAGCTAATATGTATATAACATACATGCAATAATATATGTATATGTATACTTAAGGTTCGTAAAAAGCTACAGAAAGAGAGAGAGTATCTCATTTGATCTTCACAACAGCCCTCACAGGTAAGCGATATTATTGTCCCCAGTTTACAGATGAGGAAACCGAGGCTGAGAGAAATTAAGTAACTTGTCCAGGGTCACACTCTTACCCTTTAAGTGGAATTCAAACGCAGGTCCTTCTTTGTGGCCAACATAACCTGCTTCCATTCTTTACCCTCTAAATTAACGATTTCCAATTTATCACATATATAGCTTGTTTGTACATAGTAGCTTGCATGTTCTCTCCCAGGTTACACTGTGAGCATCTTGAGAGCAGCTCTATACTCTCTTCTCACAGGTGTCAAAGGATTTTTTTCCAAAAGCTGTTTTTCTTTTAGTTTTTTATTTTGTATTCTTTCATTCACTCGTTTATTCATTTATTATTTGTCTCTCGCCCTATCTATCTAGATATCCTTTGCCTTTCCAGCGCTTCGTACAGTACCTGGCCCATGGTGGTCACTCAATAAAAGCTTCTTAACCTTGTTGCTATTTGCTCGCTGCCTTCTCTCTGAGCTTCAGTTTCCTTATCCTTTAAAAAGAGGGAGTTGTATTGTGTAGATCAGGGTCTCTTAACCTTTTTTTTTTCTTTTTAATGGATCCAACTGGCAATCCGTTGAAGTTTAGGAGCCTCCTTCTCCTAATAATGTTCTTACATACATTTTTAAAAATACATAAGGAAGCCAGTTATATTGAATACAATTATCAGGCATTAAAAAAAAAGTTTACTGAATCCTAGGCTAAGAACCTCTGGACTAAATATTGTTGTGCGTTCCAGGCTTCTGCGTAAGATAATACTATTAACAGCTTTGTATAAATCTTTATTTACTGGGGGGCGGAGGAAATCAAAACCCAAGGTGAAAAGGGTCTGGAGCCCACGGTGAAGCCAGTCTCCCGAAGCCGGGTCAGGCCCAGAAAGTACAGCCACAACAGAGCGAGGGCAGGGGAGGAGTGGGCCAAGCCTGGGTTTCACTCGCTCATTCACTCATTCATTCTCTCTCCGAGCGGAGACTCCGAGGGACACTCGGACCCCCGGCGGGGGGCAGGGAGGAGGAGGGCGGGCGGTCAGTCGGACCGGGAGGTGTCCGAAGGCGCAGGGAGGGAGGGCGGCGCAGGCTCGCCCCTAACCTCCAGCCAGTGCAGACCCGGAGACCCCAAAGCCCTGGGCGTGTACGGGGTGGGGGGGAGGGGGACACTGCGGCGTGATTGGTGAGGCGGCCTGCGCCGGAAGTGAGCGGCTGGCAGCGGGGGAGGGGCAGGGGGGGGGGGGGGCGGCGGCGGCGGCGTGAGTCAGTCAGGCGGGCAGGCAGGCAGGCGGGCAGTCTGTCAGACCGTCCGCCCGCCCGTCAGTCCGTCCGGCGGCCGGTGGGTCCGTCGGTCCGTCCTCGAGTGCCCAGCCGCGGTTTGCAGCCTCGGGCTTCCCCGCGGGGCGGGCGCCGCAGCCGCCGCCCGGGAGGGGGCGTGTGTTGTGTGTGCGTGTGAGAGGGCTCTGCGGCCGCAGCCTGCCTTCCCCGCACTCCCCACCCAGCCGCCCGCCGGCCGGTCACGCAGCCCACGGAGCGGGAGCAGCAGCGGCCGCAGCGGCAGAAGGAGCCCGGCCCGGCGCGGCCCGGCGCGGCCCGACAGCAGCAGCGGTGAGTGAGCCGGGGGGCGCCGCCTCCCCTTCCCTCCCCTACCCTGCCCTCCCCAGCGCGCGGCCCCGGGGTGGGGGCGGGGGCGAGGCGTGGCAGGCGTGGCCGGTCCTGCGGCCCCCTCCGCCGAGCCGCGTGGGGGTCGGCCGGCACCGTCGCGGGTGGGCGGGCGGGGGCCGCGGCTGGGAGAGACAATGAGCTAGCCAGTGCGGGGGCTGGCGCGTGCTGGGCACTGCCCCCCGGCCGAGCCCCGCGGGGCGTCCCGGCAAGTGAACCCGTGTTCTGGGCCGGGAAGGCGGGAGACCGGAGCGGCGGCCGGTGTCCTTCGTCGGCCCGGGAATCGCCCGGGGCTCTGGGCCGGCGCTCCGGCTTCTCCTGCCCGTCCTGAGCGTCGGATCCGGAAATCCAACCGGCAGCCGCTCGGGGCTGTTATTTTTTCGGGGCGGGGGGTGGGGGGAATAAGGAGATAGCTTCCTTTCAGGGGCTTCAGATTGGACTTCTTTGCAGTTTGATCCTCCAAGAGTGTCCCCGCAGGCTTTGCTGGATCCTTCGTGATCCCTGCCGAATTAATGTCTTCCAAGACATGTGGCATGATCTAGAATAAAAGCTTCTATTTAGAGGGAGCACTGAGTGTAGCTTACACTCCTGTCTTTTAAGTAGGTTGTCATGGCTCCAGTAACAGGAGTAGTTCTTGACCAAATTCATTTTCCTGAACTGTTCCGAGTATGGATTGATTTTTTTCCCCCTGCATCGTTCCTCATGAATATGGGAAGAGCTGCTTAGAACCAGATGGGAATCTCTGTGAAGCAAGGAGAAGGGAGAGATTGTATTGGGGAGAAAACAAGGACATGCCCATGGGGATATACGAAACTTTAAGAGTTTAGTACATTCTGTGTCTGTTTTATGTGTGTGTGTATGTATAGATACATGTGTATGAATATGTTTTTCAGCTATGTATTCATCAGTTTTGATTTAGTTCATCTTTTTTCATAATTAGTCATCTGCATGGCTGGTAAGAATCAGGTTGTTATCTAATTTAGTTAAAGTAATACAAATGGATTAAATGATTTTTTTTTGTTCCTGAATGACAGTGGTTTATCTTAAGAGTTATATAAGGCAGAATTAAGACGTAAGAAAAAGGGAAAATGTGATCATAGTATATATGTTGGTGAGGAATTGAGCTTATATTAAGTATTTGTAAAGCAATTTGATAATACTACTTACTGTGTATTTATATAGCTTTTTTTGTGTGTTTGATTTTTGTCCACCTAACATTTCTGTTAGGGATGGGTGCCATTTTATAGACTAATTGAATACAGAGAAATTTAAGTGCCTTTTCCTGGAGTCAATGTTTAGATCCAGTGAATTGAAAAATTCAAGTCTTGATTAACTATGGGACATTCGAATTAGGACTTTTTCATCAGCACGTTCTGGTTTCGGTAAATCACTAATTCCAGTTATTACTATATCCAGTAATCACATACGATTTAAGTGCCAGGGTGGGGGGAAACATAGAAACCATTTAGCTCCTCATTTTACAGGAGGAAGAAGATCCAAAGAGTGACTTACCTTAGGTTACACAGGTAGTTAGTATATTTTGAACCTAGATCTTCCAACTTCAGATCCAGTGCGAGGTGTCCTTTTCCTTACAGCACATTGCCCCACTTGTACCCACAAGGTGGCACTCCCACCGAAGCCAGAATTGAAAGCTTTTTATATTAAGACACTGAATCAATTACTAATCCTTTAGAGAAATGAGAGCCAAAAAGAAAGCAAACTGAAGAGGAGGGCAACTTTGCTTCAGGGTGCTTTGCCTCCTGAGAAATACTTCATTTCCAACATTACTGAGGAGGTAGGAAGAGAAGTAGGCAGGAAGGCAAAATGGGGAAGCTGGATGGCTTTCTGGTGTACTGGAGTCAAGATTTTGTTGTGTGGTATTGTTTTTATTTCTTGTGTTCTGAATCCCCAAAACTTCAGATCTAGTCATATTTGAACATAATCAAGCTTTTGTTAAACATCTACTACGTGCCAGGTGTTGTGCTAGGCTGTGGAGATTCAAAGACACTACTAAGTACAAAACTGCATTACAGAGCCAAATGTGACTTTTGAATGATCTTTTCTGTTATTCATGTTAGCTTGGATAATCAACCTGGAGTATAATGCAAAATAATCTGTAGATGTTACTTTGATGAATATTATTCCTTTTTGGTAGGAAGAAAAATTAATTTTCTAGAGTCAAAAACTTCATGAGGATCATATAAGATATTAGGCAAATTGAACACAGTAAGTACAAGTAAAACGTACATTTTTGAATCAAACCAGCCTTCTTGACTTTGTCATTGCAGTTTGTTATCACTACTCACAAGCTATCATTTTATTCCCTTTCTAAATAAGTATTACTTTATGCCAAGTATTTTGGCCATCAAACTTCTTATACATTTTTAGAATACATTGCCTATGAGAAATGCTCTTGTCTCAAGTTGCAAGTCAGTAAACTAGCATATATTAAATGCCTACTGTACGCCAGGCACTGTTCTAAGTGCTGGGTATATAATGAAAGGCAGGGAAAATGCCTATCCTCAAGGAGTTCACAGTTTAATGGGTATGCAAAAAAAAATGTACAAACAAGATATATACAGGATAAATTGGGGATAGTTTTAGAGGGAAGACACTAAGATTCAGAAGGACTGGGAAAGACTTCTTGAAGAATGTGGGACTTTAGCTGAGACTTGAAGGAAACCAGGGGAAGAAGGTGGATATGAAGAGGGAGAGTGCTCCTGGTATGAGGGAAGCCAGTGAAAACCTGAGTCTGGAGATAGAAAACCCTGAGAGAGCAGCAAGGTGATCTGTGTCACTGGATCATGGAGTACTTGGAAGGGAGTAAAATGTAAGAAGACTGGAAAGGTAAGAAGAAACCAGGTTATAAAGTGCTTTAAAATCCAGAAAAGATCTTATATTTAATCCAGCAGGTGATAGGGGGCCACTGGAGATCATTAAGTAGTGGGGTAATATGGTCAGACTTGCACTTTAGGAAGATTAATTTGACAACTGAGTGGAGGAAGAATTGGAATGAGGAGAGACTTAAGGCAGGAAAACCAACTAGCAGGCTATTGCAGTTGTTGTTACTCTTTCATTCTCAAAGTGGAGCAATGACATCAGGAGGGTGATGTCTTGACTTTCAAGTAAATTGAATTTAAATGAGGCAGGGGTGGGCAAAGACATCAGCCTCACCAACGATGGCTCCCGGGATTCAGTGGAAGGCCCTGGCCTTTTTAAGCTAAGGTCCAAAGTCTAGGTTTGTCTTGAGGCATCACCCAGTCAGTAATTAAAGGCTAGGTAGGAATTGGGGCAAAAGATGGCCTTGATCCACTTTCCAAAAGAATCATACTAGGAGGGGAAGACCCTTAGTTTCTGGCCAGAACAGAAACAATTGCTATTTACACTCATTCTGAGCCATCAAAACCCAAACAATGAGCAAGTAAGGCTTGGGCTAGGACCTATTTATTATTGGTCAGTCAGTGAAAACCAGAGTTATTTGTCCTTCATTCTTGAAGAGGACCATGACATCAGGAAGGTAATACCATGACTTGCAAGTGAATTGGATTTAAGTGAGGGAGGACTGTACAAAGCCACTAGCCTCCCTCTCTCTTCTGGAGCCATCTGGGTCCAGTGTCAAGATATAGATCAGGATAATGGGGGATGGCCCCTGAGAGCCAGAGTGTTTGGGGTTTAAAAGCATAGTCAAGTAGTTCCATTTGAATCCCAAGGGGCTTTATCAAACCCTTGTTTACCAGAGCTATATTTCAAGAAATCATAAATGAAAACTACATAAGAAAAAGAGCTAATTGTCCCAGTTTTTCAAAGTAGTCCAAGTGTGAAGTAAGGGCCTTTACCTGGGGTTGCAGGAGAGACAAGGGTTCATACACAAAAGATAGAAATGACAGAACTTGACTAGTGTTGGGATATGGGGAGGGAGTTAAAGTGTAGAGTCAAGGATGATAGGTTGTTAGCCTGGGTGACTGAGGATGAGATAGCCATGACAGTAAAAGGGAAGTTAAGTTTGAGATATCCAGTGGGCAATTGGAGATACAAGACTGGAAGTCAGAAGAGAGGTTAGTGCTGGCCAAATAGATCTGAGAATCATATGTATAGAGATGATAATTGCAACTATAGGAGCTGATGAGAACATCAAGTAAAATAGTATAGAGGGAGAAGAAGAGACCCAGAACAATCTTGGGGAATCTCACAGTTATTGGGTGTGACATGGGTGGATCCAGAAAAAGAGACAGAATGAGTTGGTCAGACAGGTAGGAGAATCAACAGAGGGCAAGATCTCAGAAACCTAGAGAGAAGAGAATATGGGAGAAAATAGGGTTATAGAGAAATGACTAACCCTGCTGCCTGAGCAGAAGTTGCCTACTCCACAGCTAGCTTTAGGTCAGTTCTCCATCCCTTACTTTCCTTCCTTTACTGGCTTTTGAGCGGTTATAGGCGATGCTGAGCAGCTTCCTGCCGTAAGACTTGGACCTTGCTGCCGCTGGAACCTCGGTTGTGCTATTTTCTGGCTGCCCTGCTGAGACCTCACCATGTCCTCCCACAAGTCTTTCAGAATCAATAGGTTCCTTACAAAGAAGCAGTAACAAAATCATCCGATTCCTCAGTGGGTTTGCGTGAAAACTGGCAATAAGATGGGGTACAACTCCAAGAGGAGACACTGGAGAAGAACCGGGCTTAGAAAGCTGGGCTTATAAAGAACTACTACCATGGTGGCTTAGATTTCATTCTTTCCTAGTCCAAAACACCTTACCATGCCACCACCCTGATTTTGGAAATTCCAAAGTGCAGACATAAAAAAACTTCTTACTCAGAAAAAAAAAAATAGGATTATAGACATTGTCAAAGGCTGCAAAGAGGTCAAGAAGGATGAGGATTGAGATTAAGCAATTAAGTGTAACTTTGAAGAGAGCAGTTTCAGTTGAATTTTGTGGTCAGAAGCCAGGCTG